GAAGATCCTTTTTTTTATATTGAGCAATAATTCTCTCTGATACACTAGTCTTCCTCTTATCTATTTATTCGTGTTCATGGATGAATGGCCTCTTTTTCCTTCTTCATTCCCCCCCTTCACCAAGCTTGCAAGTTACCTAGATTGCTAAAGATGCCATCTATTTCTATCTCCCACTTAATTAATTATAAAATACTATATTCAAGATTATACCAAAAATTCATATAGCTATAGGTAAATTGTCGCAACCCTAAATAAAATTTGGTATTTCCACATTGAAACTGGAACAAACTTGAGCAAGGAAATTCGAGTACGCCTGAACCCGAAATACTAATTGGATGTTACTTGTTTTTAAGCAATAGAAAGTCATACCACTTCCACGAAAAGTAATAGTAACTCTACTGAATGTCTACTATGTGAGTTCATGGTGAACCAACAACTATAACAATCACTACAGCCGAGGTACCTCATTATTAAGACATCAATCAGCCAACCAAGTCCCAGAATTATATGTATACCAGAAAACTAAAATTAATACCTCATCAAAATCAGCTGCAGCTCCAATGGGAGTTGATAAAGCTTCCTGGATCTGTTTCATGTTCTCAGTCTGCTCATTTATCTCATCCATAGTCTTGTCAACATCATCGATGTTCCTGTGAATGAAACAAGTTTAACCAGCATTAGCAAGGAAAGATTGCCATTAGTAATAAAGAATGTAGCAACAAATTGAATCCAGCCAAGTCCCTTCCACAACAACTTGCCTAGACTAACATTATGGAAGCATATGTGAAAACCCAATAAAGTATATTTACCAACAAATAAAACTAACACATACGTTGCTTTCTGCATTGCCTTCATTGCAGCTGCTCCAGTTCTCAATGCATCCACAGTTTCTGTAGTTGCTTTGGCACCTTCTAGCATTATCATCTGTGAATGCAGATACATGGTTAATTACGACAGAAAAACCAGCAAAAGCTACAGAACACTTTCTTCTTTCTTTTTCGTGATAAAACCATTTGTATATGTAAATATCAAACTTACTTGATCATGAATTCGCAGCTGAAAATTTCCAAGCTGTTCAATTTGTTGTTCGTAAAGCCTCTTCCTCTTCAAACATTGTATAGCCGCTGCAAAATCATAATAAGCAAGTATAAGTGAAAAAACAAAATATCTGATAAGGACTATTAACAGCATAGAGCTATTAAGCAGCCTTCCCTGGTAGATTTCTTTAGAACTTGAAAACAATTTTCTAATTTTCAAATGCTGGATAAAGATGCAAGAATTAATGAATCATTTACCAAGTCTATGACCAGAATCTTCTTTTTTTGAGGGGTGGGGGGTTGAGGGTAAAGGAAAAGAAATAGCATGTTAATTTATAAGCATTGTGCATTGAGCAAGCTTTTGATAACAGCATTGGTAGGGTCTGAAAAATCGTGCTTTACAGGAATTTAAATGACTGGGAATTAGAGGAATTTGAAAATCTACTGCCATTACTGGAAACTATCTGAATTAGCAACAACGAAGACAAACTGATTTGGTCTTTAGAAAACAGTGGCTCTTCTAGTGGCTGCTTCTTCTATAATTATATTGCTGGCCTTAACAGACAGAACAAACCGGTTTTCCCTGCAAAAATGATTTGGAAGGCTAGCGCACCACCAAGAATCTCCTTCTTTGCTTGGGAAGCTTCCAAAAATCATATCCTAACCATTGAGAATCTCATGAAAAGAGGCAGTAATCTACCAACAG